ATATAATTTTATTAGATCTATATAATATTATATAAAGTTGCTTATATAATGTAAAATTTTATTATTATTATAATATATTAAAATCTAATTTGATATATAAAAATATACCATATCAATTATATATATGATGATTTTTTTTAGCAAATATCTAAAATTTATTAAAAATCAAGATTTTAAAAAAATGGAAAAATTATGTAATAGTATTTTTTTTATAATCTATAAACATTATATTAACTTATATATTATTTTTATAATTTTTTTTTTTTTTTATAAATTAATACATAAGAAAGGGTCAGTTAATTAAATAATATATAAAATAATAGAAAAGTAGAGCTTAAGAAAGAAATAAAACATGAATTCTATATGTTATATAATATTATTATAAACTACTATGTAACATTTATATATATTTTAAATTATAAGAATTAAAATACTTTAGTTTAAAATTAATTATTTTTATATTTATAATAATTTTTAGTTAAAAATATTAAAAAATTTTTATTATAAGTAAATGTTTCTTTATATATTTTATCACTGTTAAAAGTTATATAATGCTTTTCTAATTCAAATAATATATCTTTTGCCAATTTCACTTCATTTTTATTATTATATAAAAACATCATTTTCTAAATTTTTTAACTTAAGTTGTGATATAAAAGATATAAAACTTACAAGTTTTAGCAATTTGTCTAAATAATAAACGGTAAAACTTGGAAAAACTACATCAAAAATCGTATTAATAAAACTTAAGATTTAAATATTTATTTAGACAAGCAATCTCAATTTGATTTTAACTGCTATTCTTTAAAATATTGTAAGTCCTTATCCTAAACTAAATATATCTATCATTCATAAATATAAAAAAAAAAATATTTGAGTAAATTGAAAGTGGTGATTTAATTACATAATAATGTCAAAAATCCTCTTCGCGCGCGGTAAGGAATTTCAGACATTTGATGTAATTGATCATCATAAATTTCAATCAATTGTACATTAAGGGATTCGTGCCCGTGATTGGTGATCAAACAATACAAACGTTCACGTCTACCCAATAAAGACATAACTCATGATAAGTTACTTTAAGCGGAATTTCATTCTTTTAAGAAATGAATTTACTTATATCATTTGTTAAATTTCAGTTTTTTTTTTTTTTTTTTTATATGAAATCTCCAACGATCGGAAAGCAAAAATAAAAAATGATGTTCGAATTTAAAGTATTTATAAACAAATAAGATCGACAATAAATAATTTTATAATTTTATAATTTTCATCTAAAATTTTCTAATTTTATCAATATTCAGAAATAGATACGAACTTAATCAGGAGATTTATGAAAAGCAATGGTTTCGAGTACGATATTTATGATTTATTCAAGTCTTGATCCAATTATTTCAGGATAAAGGAAAAATAATAAAAAACTAAATCAATGAACGAAAACAAGAACCAATAAATTAATTAATTCTATCGCTTTTTATTCCTTGAAGCCTGACGTCTAGCTTTGCCGGGACGCGTCTTCGTAACGTTCTTCTTTGGTTTAAATGATGACTTCTTCAAAATAATAATAATAATAAATAATAAAGATAAATCTTTTGATTCTCTTAATATTCTCTTTCAAATATATATATACTTTTATAGCTTACTTTTTTCATAGGCTTCCCTCCTCCACCAAACACTGTTAAATCACCAGAGGATTCGGCTGTATTTGTTTTAGCATGACGCTTCTTTCCTCCAAATCCAAATTTACTATCCTTTTCATCGTAATAAATTATAGATTAGAAACAAATCAAATTCCAAAATTTAAAGAACAATTAATTTGGAAGTAAATTTAAAAATTACCTTATAGGTGCGTTTAGATTTTTTGCTAGTTTTTTGCTTTTTATTCGGAGGTCTATCATCTTCAGCAGCAGCTTCTTCAAGGGCAATTTCAAAATCATCATCCACAGCCGTATCTTCAACACCTTTCCTTTCTACATCAAATAATCAATTAACAACTAAACTTTTTTTTTCGTTTACACTTAAAAAGCACAACCTTAACGAATCATAATGACATACTCTTTTTCATAGCTTTAATTTTTTCTAAATCTTCCCTTTTTTGTTTTTGACGCTCTTGTAAACGTTCAATTTGAACTTTTTTACTAAATTTTTTTAATTCACGTTGGCGTTTAGCATCTTCGCTTACTTTGATCATTTGTTCTTCATTAATTAACTTTTGACGTACTTTTGTCATATGTTCATCAGATTTTACCATTTCAGCAAAATAATCATCAGGTCTAGAGAACATTACACCTGATTCTACGACTTTTTTGCGTCCTTCTGTAGCTGCTTCAAGTGCTTGCTTATAACTGATAAGAAAATTTTCAGTTATATATATATATATTTTTTTTAATAATAATAATAACATAAAAAGATCAAATATTTACAATGCTAATTCACGCTCTACATCGTTATTGATGTCTTTGATGACTATCGGTTCTGAAGACGTTATCACTTGAGTTTCAATCCATGGTAAATCAAGTTTAATTTCTTGTTGAATTTTTTTTAATGCTGACTTGACAATATCATATTCGAAACGATTAGATTAACTTGGAAAAACGGTATAAAAGTACAAACTTAATTTAAATAAAACAAGATACCTTGTTATTTATTGTTACATGTTGTTGAGGTATGATATCTTCGTCGATTTCTTGGTCAGATAAATCGTCTAATGCAACTTCTTCACCGTCTTCGCCTTCTTCCTCAGAGGAAACCGAATCAGAATCATCAGATTCTTGATTGTTTTGAATAATTGATTCTTCTTCCTCCTCCTCTTCTTCTGAATCTTGTCTAGTATATTCTTGTTCTGATGACTCTGATCCTTCTTCTGGTTTCATTATATTGATATAATTTTTTTAAATGATTTCAAAAATGAAAAAAAAAAAAAATTTGATAATTTTATAGCACGTGTCTACGCCGATCAATTAGGTAGATGATTATGTCGCACAAACTTCAGGATCGACAGTAACCCAAATTTTTGATGGATAAAAATACATTTTATTATGATAATATATATATGCACGTAAAGGTAAAAGTACATGTCCATAATAAAAACCAAGAAACATGGATAATACCAGAAATAAATGATGAAAAAATCACAAGTTTTAAATACAATTACTAGAAAAATTTTACATAAAACACGAAACAAATCAAACCAACAAGTGTTATAATAATAGCAGCGGTGATCATACGATTAGTTTGCATTCTAAAATTCATGAAATCATCAGTTTAATTCTTTTAATTAAATAATAATAATAATAATAATTAAATAAACCACCTGCGCGCCATACCCTTGAGGGTACGTTGAGCTTTATCAATGTAAGAATCCGCTTCCATTAACTACAAAAATAATTGATTAAAATCTCTTTAATAAAAATATTATTATTTTAAATAGGTGAGAAACGTACAGTATTCCTAGTGTGTAAGATTTGATCTCTTTGCCTACGAATATCCTCCAAAACATTGGCACCAATCGTTTCTGAAATTCAAAATCATGTAAAATAAAAAAAAAATTCAATTAAAAAAAGTTCTTCAAAACAATTAATGTGTCTTACCAGTTTCCAAGGCAATTCTATGACTGTCCTGTAATCTACGACTACTATCAGCCAAAAGTTCGGTTCCAGATAAAAGTCGAGCACGTTGATCTAACGAAGCACTATCAAGATCTGTCCCATTTGTACCAGCGAGCAATTCTTCACGATCTGTTGGTCCAGAAGCACGAGAACTTGCTCTTTTCTAATGAAAGAAATATAAATTTCATTAATTAATTATATTTCATTTTATTTTCATTTAAAATTTAAGAATTTACCAAATCACGTTTCAATTTATCAAGACTGCTCTTGTAACTCCTCATTTTAGCTTGACAACGTGAGCGTGATGATTGTGGTAAATTCAACAGCTCCATTTCCATTTGAGCTATCTATAAGAAAAAAAAAACACAATTTAGAAAATTGAAAAAACCAAGAGAGCAAAGTAGGTCAATTAACGTACAATTTCATCGGCCTCTTCAATTTCACGCTCGGCGGCTCGTATAGTAGTCTTTCGTTTTTCTATCTCAAAACAATTTTTTATGTCAGCTGCATTTCAAAGGAGGTATCGAACTGTTAAAAATTTGTTTTTGAATTTACCTCCAGATTGTGAAGGAATGGTGGAATTTATTATAACTTCAATAGACCTAGCAACTTGGCTAAAGTCTTGTTCATAAGACTCAAACAGGTCAGAACCTCCAGTATTCATTTTTAAAAAAATTTAATAACGATTTTGAATAATGATATAGTAGAAAATAAGAAAAAGAATGTCCAAGATGATTCTTAGTTGTCTATATTGTTTTATTTAAAATTGCACAAATTCATTCCAACTTTACTAATAATCTAATCTGATAACCTATTTTATAATCAAAATCTTAGGAATTCTTGATTTAAATCTTGCTTTATCAAATCAATGGAACACGAACGAGAAAAATCAATAAAATTGACGAAATATACTATAACAACACCAATTTGGCATTATCTCAAAATAAAGATGTAATCATTTTATTTTATTTTTATTTTTTTGAATATTTTTGTTTAAAATAAATAATCTTTTTAAAAAAAAAAATATCCAGAAATTTCGATCCATCAACTATACCATTTCCCCCAATTTCTCCACTTTCTTTAAGGACTTTATTCAATCGTGCATTAACGGATTCATTCGGAATTATTGGTTCGGGAATTCATATAGATATCTTAGATTGGAATGGTGAAATAGAAAGTTCTAATTATGCTGGTGTAATTAGGGTACCGAAAGAGTAAATTATCACCTTTTCCTTTATTACAACTCGACATTTCTTAAAATAACTTGTGCCCTTGGGAATATTATGTAGGAACATGACAACATTATGGAGTGCGCTTACTTTGTTCAGTGCAACGTTAGACATTGCAACTGGCACTTCCGTTTCCACATTCGACGCAAATCTTGAAGAAAATAACATTAATCTAAAAGAAATTAGTTTCCAAGTTCTTGGCAATTCTCCTTATTTAATGGGATTAATTAATGATAGTCGTGATTGGACCAAACAACTTTTAAAGATTTAGTTTATACACTTTAAAAATAAAAATTTTTTACAATTTATGATTCGTTTTGTTCTTGCAATGTTATTTTTAATATATATACTACCATGTTATTACTGAACTAAGCTTTTTTTTTTGATAATAGATATCCAAATTATTTTTTAAAAAAAAATATCAATATTTATATATATGTAACCTGAAAGGACCCGCCTTATACATTATTTATTAAAGTGGGTTATTAATCTTGATCCTCTTTCAATAAATCTTGACTTATTAAGTATTGTTTTAATTTTTCATAAAGATACATTTGATCTGGTGTATCAAGTGAAATGATTGCTTCAAGAACTGATCCAACTGTAAAAGATGATGTCTATTACGAAATTCGTTAATTAATAAATGATTTAAAACTAAAAAAAAAAAAGCCAAACTGCTATTAAATTTACAACAAACCTTGATAAAACTTTGATAATACATGTGTGAAAACAACCCCATAAGAAATTGACAATCCATACGATCTGTGATACCTCCATGTCCAGGAATAGAATCTCCGAAATCCTAAAAAAAAAAAAAAAAAGGATTGTCAAGAAAATCAGTTGATAACATGAATTATAAACAAAAATGATTAATGACTAACTTTGATCTTGAATGCTCTCTTAACACCGCTCGCAAAGAAACCACCAAATGGTGCGATCAGAGAAGCGAAACAGGCCATGACCAAGACGTGCCACTGGAGTGGCGCGATACCAACTGATCGGATATCTGCAAATGTCTGAAAATAAATCATTACTTAAATTTAACTTATCCATAAAATATATCATAATCTTAAGAAAAGTTCACTTACAATTCGCCTGAACAAACTAGTTAACCAAGGATTTAAATCATATCTCTGAGGAATAAACACTGGATTGGGAGCACACGTTAATTTTCCCGAAAATGCCGTGGTTGTTAGATCCTAAATAATAAATGTAATATGTGAATAAATTTAACGATTAAGAGAAATTCAATTCAAAGAGTTTTCAGAAAGGTTACCTGAGCAGGACAGATGATGTAATCCCAACGACTTAATAAGGAAGACCACTAATAAAGAGATAGCAGAATAAACATATGATCTTAAAGACAAATAAAATACACGTACTAAAGAACTTACAAAAAATCCGAAAATTATCGTGCAAATCCAGGCACCTACGAATCCTTCCCATGTCTTCTTGGGACTCAATTTAATCAAAGGTGTTTTACCCCAGAAAAATCCACACATATATGCAAAGATGTCATTACATATTACCAGAGACACGGGCAGTATGAACCTAATAAAATTAGAAAACTCGTGAGAATTGAAATCATTTCTTTTGTTTGATTTAATAAAATTAAATTAATACCAAATTAATCCTTCGAAAATATTATTGATGATAAAGTGACTTTGACATACAACAATCAATAGTGTCATATGCGTCCACGCGAATTGCGTGAATTGAAATTTATAATGTCCTCTCTTAAGATTTCCGACAAAGAGCACGAACCCTATAAATGTAATTCGAATCAAATGACGCGAAATTCACCAACTTAATGGATTCATTTCTTATGAACTTACCTATACAATATAAGGTAAATGAAATAAATCGATGATGTGTTGCAAAAGGAAGTAGGAAAGCATCAACCAAAACTATTTCTTTGAAATAGTAAATTATCGATTCTCCATAAAGGAAGTAATTTGTGCTGATTAAAAAGTACCTAAAAAATTTTTTTTTTAAAAAGACATTGACGAAATGTATAATAAGTATTAACTTTACGTTGATCTACCGCATATATAATTAATAACAAAGACTTAGGGTTCTAAAGTACATAATCATAACACGAATTACGATGTGACAGTTTTTGATCAAAAAGTTATATGTATTTGAACTAACCAATTAAGTGTCTTGAACCATGGCAATTTCTTCTCTTTGCTTGGTACGTGCGCAATTGCAATCACTTCTTTATATACCAGCGTTTGAATCACGCACACAAGAAGAATGACCCATAAAGTTCCTAAAGCCAAAATGGCAAAAAACCCGAATATCATGACAAATGTCCAGATTGATCGAACTGCCATATTTTTCCATTTTTTTGTTGATGGTTGTGAAGCAAGTAAACCATCTTTTGAGATATCCTAAAAAATTTAAGGAAAGACCATTATTAGGTAATTTATTAATTTATCAACTCAAATTGTGATTTATTAAGATTTTGTGTATGATTTATTTTTAGTCCTAATACTTTTTGCTGTCTTTACCATTACCCGAACTTAATTTATATCTATGCTATACTTGTAAACTCTAGTCACGAAAAAATAATCAAAGTTTCACCTAACCTGTGACTTTTCAAGCCCATTAACTTTTGTAGGAAGTTCTTCAATTTGTTCAGCTTCATAATTTTCATGTTTTCCTCCTTTCCGTTTCTTTGTCATTTTTTTTAACAGTATTCGGAGAATAAAAAAAACTATAATGATTTGATACAAAGTACGAGACTTCTGTTACCCTGAAAGCTTAAAACAACCAATAAATTTATTCTTTGAATTCTGCAAATTAACAGTTTGAGTTATTTGATTATATATTTAAAAATTGTCAGGTGGTATCATGACAGCTTTTTTTTGTCACACGTTAGTAATTTTATAACCCGAAATGGCTATGATGTTTTTATGACGTAAAAGTGGTCTGCACCGTGGAGGATAACGATTTACATATTACTCGTTACACTACTTTCACTCCAAGATCAACTTGGTAAGTTGATTCTACAAAGCAACTTGAAAATTTGTAAGAACCGTTATTTCAAAAAAAATTTTCTCATGTTTATCAACCTTTTATTATAATTAAAACTATTGTTTGTTTAAATTACGCAAATATTTATGGCGCAGTTTTTCGCAAAAGGAAGAAGATTTCCAAAGAAAGTTAGGGTCATTTAATTAAATTCAATTTCCATTTATATTTTCTGTTACAATAATTGTAATGCAAAGACTGTTGGACAAAACGAAAGGATATAAAGCGCATGCAGGGCAATTTACACTATTATGGAAGGGGCCGCTTCTGGTTTGTGTTCTGCATTACGCATGTTTTCTTATCGAATTTAATTTGATCAATAACAGTAGTTGAAATTTAAGAGTTTAGCACTTCAGAATGAATGCGCAAAGTCGTGAGCTGAGCTCCTAATCACATAGCTCGGCTTGTAGTTCTCTCCATAAAATATTGTTTCGAAAATAAAAGCTCAACCAAAAGCACAAACTTGGAAAATTTTACAGTTAGGCATAGACAAATTTCTTGAATCGGTTCATATTTTATTCATTACGGTATAAAATGACAAAACAATCTTTTAATATTTTAAAGAAAATGCTATTTATTCAAATATACATGTACTATAAATTTTTTTATAATTTATCCAATAGTAATTTTTTTTCCAGATGGAACCTCTCCTTTTGGAATGATAACTTCAAGAAGACCTTGATTAAATTTGGCAGAAATTTCCTCAACCTTAGAATTTCGTGGTAAAGAAATTGTACGAGTAAAGGAACCATAACGACGTTCTTGAATGTGAGTATTTCCTTCGTCGTGTTTTTGATCCTTTTTAGTTTCACCAGAAATTACAAGAGCATTGTTACGAACGTCGACATTAACTTGATCTTTATTAAGTCCCTAAATATTAAAAAAAATTTGGTCTTAATATACAAGTATTATATATTATATATATCCAAATATATAAATAAAGAAAATTCAACATACTGGTAACTCCGCATGAACGGTAAATTCTTTATCATTTTCATGAACGTCGATTAAAGGAGACCAAGCTCTTCTTGTCACGTCTCCACTACGAGGGGTGGATCTTCTCCTTGCAACGTTTAAATCTTGAATAAAATTATCAAAAATACTATTAACTGATCGTTCTAATTCATTATTATCCCAATAATAAAGAGCCATTTTCACGTTTATTTGTTTTAAAGTTTGGGTTTTATAAGAATCTTATATTTATTTTTTTTTTTGTATTTTGCTTGCTTTCCGCCCAAGATTGCTCTATGGCTTTATTTATAAAAAAATCAAAAAATAAACCTAATTACATTTCCAGTTACTTCTACACTTTTCAAAGAATTTGTTCTTTTCCCTCAATTTCTCGTAATTTCTAGCTTTATGTGGCACTTATCTAATTTTGGATCGATCTGCTGTAGTT